GGATTGGAGTATGTTTCGTCGACAGTTTGATTCTGCGTTGGAATCCATTTTACCACCTGCAAACAGAAATCTTGTTAATAATGAAGTTGACAATTGCATAAATATCTTTGAAAATACCTTTCATAACATACACAAACAGCACTGCAAAATAATTGAAGTAAACAATCACCAAATATGAAAATATAAATAGGTTTTATAAAATCAAAGATCAATGGCAAAAAGACCTAAAAAAATATTTCATCGAAATGGCAAGAGACCAAATTTTGAATATAATATATTGTCCAAACAAATACAGCTACTCAAAGACATTATACGGGACCTTCTTTACAAAGAGCAGGCTAAAGTTTTTAACTCTAAATTAAAAAATATAAAACCCAGTCCATCAGCTTTCCAACAAGTCAGCAAACTAATTGAAAAATCTAAAACACAATTTTGCCAACAGCTACAAATATATAATGTGGCTTTTACTACAGGTAGAGAGATCGCAAACGCGTTCCATGACTATTACAGCGACACATTCTGTGATAATATTCCAGAGTTACCACCACCTAACATTGAATCCCGAATACAAAGTTATTTCAATCCAATTGCTATCCATATATACACATTTGATGATGGATTTAAATCATTACACAATTCAGACAACTACCACTTTACAAATGTATCATCTATAAAAACGCACATTGTAAGTCTGAATAGAAAAAAATCGACCGGTCTAGATGGAATATCAAACTATATACTAAAGAATTTTTCTGATGAATCTTTAAAATTCTTAACAATTATATTCAACAACTGTTTGAATAATGGATACTTCCCTAAGTCATGGAAAATTGCAAAAATTATACCAATCAAGAAGAAAATTAACAGTATAACACCTCAAGAGTTCCGTCCAATATCTATGTTATCCAATATTGGAAAAGTTTTTGGGAGAATTCTACGAGAAAAATTAGAAAATGAGTTTGTGATACATCCGATTCCCGGCTGGCAATTTGGCTTTAAAGCGGCACACTCAAAAAACCATGCATTATTGAAGTTTCGTGAAGACGTAACAAGTAACCTGAGAGAAAATATCTGCACTGTAGCGATTTCCCTTGATATTCAAAAGGCTTTCGACTCTGTGTACCACAAGGGGATAATCTATAAATTAATACAACTTAGTGTGGACCCATTATTAATCAAAATTCTCCAAAATTTCTTGACAGATAGGAAATTTACTGTCACAATTAATGATTGTCTGTCCAGTTTTGGATCTATATCGAGTGGAGTTCCTCAAGGCAGTGTCCTGTCGCCCCTTCTATTTAATCTTTTCCTTCACGACTTCCCCCATCAAACAGAAAATTCAAAAGCCATATTGTATGCTGACGATTGCTTGGTATATAGTCACCATAACTCACCCACTGAAGCCTTAAAGCAAGCCGCTCTTCACCTTGGCGATATAAGTAAATATTATAAAACATGGGAAATTACAGTAAACGCAGCTAAATCGGAAGCAGTATGTATTAGAAACGCATATGGGAAATGTCATAGAAGCGTTGTTCCCGAAGCGAAGAATCTGTGTCTCTTACTGGATGGCATAGAATTTCCATTCCGAGATTCCTTCAAATATTTGGGAATACATATAAATAAATTATTTAAATTTAATGAACACGCCAGAGCATCATTGAAAAAGGCCAAGATAACTGCTGGACGTTTGTCCACATTAATGTGCAATACTTATCCGCCGCAAAATACTAAGCTGCTACTTTATAAAGTTGCAATCCGGCCAATTATTGGATATGGATTACCAATTTGGTTCACCATTTCGCCATATGTAGCTAAAGAAATTGAGACGTTTGAGAGGAAGATTTTAAGAAAATGTGTTGGTCAAAACTTTCAAAATCCAACTAAAAGGTTCTCTAACCATCACATTTACAGCACCGCCAATATTGTGCCATTTTGCAGCTATGCCCTAAACCTGCAAAAAAGATTTGTAGAAAACTTAGCTGCACATGACAACATTCTGTTGAATGAATTATTTACTGCTGAAGAAAATACAAATTGGACAGAAGCTGCTTACCTTTCTACTATATGTATCATAAATGTAAGATTTGACAATGATTCTGGGCAATATTCAACACCAAACTTTTTCACCAAGACAATACCTGGAATGCACAGGGGATAATAGTATTAAATAACAAATCTGTGATATTTACATTACTAGGCTTAAGATCTCCCACAATAGTACTTTATTTTATTGTGTATGTCCCTTCCTTTGTCATAAGGTATCGAGAATGTATAATTAGCATACTTTTGCAATCACTGATTATATTAGCAAATCGCTTTTCGATGTTATTGCATATTCAATTTTCAATTTGTACGTACTTTATTTTGTTTATTTTAAGTTCATCGTAAGTCAACAATTTAACGATATGTTTTTATTTATTTTAGCTTTAAGTGTTAATTATTTGTAAGATTTTTGCAGACAATTCGCTCTGCAAGTCAATTGAAAGATTGGGAGCAAATCTTAAAACAAAATTTTCACGTTTGTTTACATCACATTTTTATTACAATTTCATTTTGGCATGAAGCCCGTACGAATATCACAGTGCAACAGAACAAATGATTATAGTTCCGTAATTTAACATTGTTATCGATAAGTTCAAACATATAATGTTATCGTAATCTGAAAAAGTCTCAATAAATTTTACTTACTTACTTACTTACATTTATATTGTTTGTGGAAATTAAGCCAAGTAATTACGCGTCTCGGGGACCATTGCAACAGCCCCGAAATGTTTATACAAGTCCACAACTGTAATATCTTCTACGTCATCGACAAATACCACTAATATTCCAGCCAATTTTGGTAACCGGAGGTTACACCGACTCCAGCACATGGCACAACAGTAGCAAGTGTCCCCGATCAAATAGTTTTAAAGAAAGGACATAGCACAAATATCGCCACCAGTAAAACTCCTTTAAGAATGCCCAGCAATCAAGCCAGGAGCCACTTGGTGGATACCAAACCTCTCTTGGTAGCAGAGCCGATGCAAATTCCCCAAACCATACAAAGAGTTTTCACAGACTACAGAAGGCTGGTGGAGCTGCGGCTAGTGGAAGTTTAGATAAGACCAACTGAGTCATAGCTCTCGTGAAAAGTTGAAGCACCAAAGTAAAATGGCTATACAATAGAGTCAGGCCGTAAAGGGGTTGCATGGACCCATATAATGCTGCATGGACCCATATAATGTTGCATGGACCCATATAACCTTTGATTACAGTGATTCTGGAATGCAGCTTCAGGCCATGACAATTCTCACGTTTCATTGGTTTCCCTAAAATTGGGCTAATTCAGCATTACAACAACTTGTTTTGACATTTAAAGGTGCCATCAGCTGGGGTGATGCGACTACCTGGTAGATTTACCTTGCCAAATCCCATTTATTAGGTAGTGTAAAGAGCGAATTGCTTAAAAACAGCTGATTTATTCCTTCGAGCTGTCAAAATTTATTTTGAAGCAAAAAATATTTCGCCTTCGTCTTTCTTCTTTTTGTGGCGAATTGCAAACAAACATAAACACGGCACAATTTTTATTTCCCAAAAGCAATAATTGTATTTTTGTATTAGATATTAAAAATTAGTCGTTGGATAATGCTGTTGGCTTTGTGTTGATGGCCAGGAGCAGGGAGGCGTAAGTTTTACCTGGCAATTTGTGTTTCATTTGGCTCTTGTGTCTACGTCCTTTGGAACGGAGAAAAAAATTACATTTCCATTCAAACTATTTTTTGCAAACCTTGCAGACATTCATTTTTTACTTGTAATATTTTATAATCACGTGAAAGCAATTGTGCAGAATTAGAAAATCAAATTTGAATTGTGTATACCAATATCCTCAGCATAACTGTAAACATTCGATGATGACAGTTTGTCATATTTTGCAGCGAATTCCAGATATAACCAAATCTATTTTGACAGAATGGGTGAAATCAGCTGGGCTAATCGGAGAACTTAATGGCTAAGTACATAAGAGGCTTGAAGTCATGGCTAGGCATATTTTGTAACATTTCACAAAGGGATTACAGAGCCGCACTAAAATCCAGCCGTCGTTTTCCATTATAATTTGACATTAATATGCCTAGCCATGACTTCAAGCTTCTTATGTACTTAGCTCTTTAATAATTGGGCTATGGCATGGTAGAAGAATATAGGTAGACGCGTTGAATGAAAAATTATTTAAATTTGTAAAAACTGTTGAAAAACTCGAATTATAATAGCCTCCGAATGACGTAGTAAAGAAAACATATAAAAATCTACTTATATTTTTTTTTTTTTTTGTATAATTGACCTTTGATCAATATATTTTCTTCTGGTTTTTCGTTTGGCTCGAGGTCAGAATTTAAAAAACAGACGAATTTGTTTTTTTAAATGTACCTCCTAATAAACGAATGAACTACAAAACTGACACGGAACATTGTGCACAAATTTATAGAAATGTCATCGAAAAGCATAAGAAAAATTAGGTGGAAAATTCGAGTAAAAAGGAAAGGATGGAAAAGCTGCATCAGAGAACTTAAAAACAGAAGAGTTAAAATCCAATGTAATTATCGTTATAGTGTTTTGTTTTATTTATTTATACTAAATGTTAATTGTTTTTTCAAGTCAAATCCCTGATGATGACTATCGAAGATAGTCGAAATATCGGACAAATAAATTAATATATAAAAAAAACAAATTCGTCTGTTTTTTAAATTCTGACCTCGAGCCAAACGAAAAACCAGAAGAAAATCTACTTATATTTGAAAAACATTTAATTTTTTTGACATATCAAGGTTCCTAAGCGTTGATGAATCTACCTGTATTCTTCTACCATGGGCCATGGTATATGCCAAGGCAATTTCGCCTTGTTATCGATATTTCCACTTTGCGTATTTGGGTAATACAGTCGTACAAGACATTTTACCACGTCGGGTATTAGGTAAGCCTCTTAGAGTAATAATCTACATCGCCGATAATTTTATCAATGCTACATCGTTAAACTAATGCCATACGACGCGCAGACATAACATTCAAATAAGGCAAATCAAAAGTAGTGTTGATATTAATACTGCCTGCCGCTATATATTGAAATCTAAATAACATTAAGCTCCAACAATCTTCTATTGAGCAATATTTTGATAGACCATGATGTTAAACAATCTTTGTAAAGTTGGCACTGCCGTATCTCGCAATTTATTAGGTAAACATCTTTTTGTTTATAACATAATTCACTGTTACTAAAGTCCAGTCCAAAGTTCAAACAACCTACTCGAATAGCCAGTCATTTTTTTAACTTGCAATAACGTTTTTAGCTAACTCCACTGTACGCAAAATGTCTGGAAAAATTCTATCCGTGAATTCGGCAAATATGGACGAATATAAAACGTTAAATATTGCTGTTCCAAAACCCTTCGTCTTCAGTGTCGAACTGAGCAGGCCTAAACGCTACAATGCTATTAACAAGGAAATGTGGATGTAAGTTATGCTTGCCCCATGCTTGTTTCCTTTTTAAACTAATTTGTGCGACATATTTAGAGAAATTAAGAATTGCTTTGAAGGGTTAAGTGCAAATCCCGATTGTCGCGTTATAGTTTTATCTGGATCTGGTAAACATTTTACAGCAGGTATGTACAGTAGATTTAGTAGTAGGACTATTAATGTCTCAAGATTAAAATATTTATAGGAATTGACCTAACAGATATGTTGCAATTGGGACAAGAATTGGCCGAAGTGGAAGATGTAGCACGTAGAGGTGCTTATTTAGAACCGTTGATAAAGTTATACCAAGACTCTATGAGTTCATTGGAAAAATGTCCTAAGCCAGTAATAGTTGTTACACACTCCGCTTGTATTGGAGCTGGTATTGATTTAATTACAGCTGCGGATATACGGTACTGTACACAAGACGCATTTTTCTCAGTAAAAGAAGTTGAAATCGGAATGGCTGCTGATGTGGGAACACTGCAACGCCTTCCTAAAGCCATTGGCAGCCAATCACTAGCTCGTGAACTATGTTTTACTGGTAGAAAGTTCGAAAGTTCAGAAGCCTTAAGTTCGGGATTAGTGAGTAAAGTTTTCCCTGACAAAGAGGAAATGTTGAAATCTGCGTTAGAATTGGCAGAAAATATAGCACAGAAGAGTCCGATAGCTGTGCAGGCGACAAAACAGAACCTTGTATATTCTCTAAGTCGTCCAAATCAAGAAGGATTGGATCAGATTGTAAGTACATTCGAAGTGCAAATTTGTAGTATAAATAACTAATTGACTACCAAAACATCATGCAAACATCAAGAATTCTATTCGGAAATACCGCTTTTTACAGAATGCAGCTGTAAGTGAAATGAGCTTGTGGTTGCAAACCGATGCTTTGAACTGAACACGGCATACTTGCGCAATTTATATCCTGATTCAATACAGAAAAAATTATATTGTTATTGAACGTTTTGAAAGTCAGCCCCTATTTATCAAGATAATTAATTTCAAGTAACAAATATTTAATACGATTTGGAGGGGATAAGTCAACACAAGTTGTTTAAAGTAAGGATTAGATACATTAATAATTAATGTATTAAAATCGTTGAATTTTTTAAGCTCATAGATAAGTAGTTAATGGATATGCAACCTATCTACACATGTGCTTTGTTTACTTTGAAGCTGAAAATCCAAATGACGATATCTAGAAACATAGAGACTTCTACTAACTTCTACTAATTTTTATTTCATGGTTGTTATATAAGGGAACTAAAGGTGAGGCAATTATACTCAATTTACTTGATTTAAACAACCCAACCCAAAAACTGGTCATATGTGCGATGCAATTACATTTATGCCTTGGTCATGCCTTATAGTCCAAATTAATAGTGATATTTCTTATGCAATAATAGACGTGTTCTCCATATGAATTTTTTGTCAGTGTCACGTTTTATAGAATGTGAAAAACATAAAAACTGAAAAAATGTATTAGTAATTAAATATAAATTTGCTGTGATCACATTAAAATGTATATTTCTTAGCCTTTACCACTTCTAACGTCCTTTATTTCGTTCTCTCCATTTCAGCGCGAAATGAACAAATTATACTTACAATCCGAAGATTTTGCTCAGGCTGCCGCAGCTCAATTGACGAAAGGTGACAAACCAGTATTTGCCAAATTGTAATTGTAAAACTATAGTTATATTTTTATAAATAAAGAAAAAATTAATGCATCATTTGTGTTAGCTTTTCCATATTTATGGCATACACGGAATGTGATGGTATAAGATTGTGGTCATTGAAAGCTCGCTGACAATCCTTAAGTGTTATTTTCTTTGAACTTTTATGGTAGCTGAAATTGAAAAACAAAATTGTCTCTTTTATTTCACTCTAAAAATAAAAAAAAGTACTAGTTACTTACAGCTCTTCACATGCTGAAAGGAATGTAACGTCGTCGTTAGTCCTTCGCATGAAATTGGGGGAGGTTATTTCCTTGTCCAATTCCAGAGGCCCGTCATCAAGTTTTTGTCTTGTAACAGTGTTTCGCAAGGAGGGGTCTTTTAGTGGTGCACCAACGTCGAAAAAGAATGAACCTTCTCCAGTAACTTTGTAATGCTCTTTCTTCATTATAATGGCAGATATGAGATTTTTTAGAAGAACCTGAACTGCCATAGCCACATACTCTGCCACACTATCTTCTACATTAACCAAGCCAGATTCCCATGCACCTATTAGGAACCGACCCAAAATAAATCCAGTATCTGGAAGAAATAACTCCTGTACGCAATATCTTTGTGTTGGCAATATTTGAACATTTGCCTCGGTGCCTACTGCAGGTCTTATTATTTTCATAGTATCTTCCATAATAAAATCTATAAAGTCGTACGGCTCAAATGTTACTCTGTCGCTTGTAATTCTAGAGCTTTTCTTCCTTTTTCCTTTCTTGTTGCTGCTCGTACTTCCACTGCTGCCTGGCAATCCTGCACTACTGTTTAGTCCATATACACTGCTAACTCCACCGTATGGGGACGTTTGCTGTGGCATTTGAAACGCATCAATTTTATTCAGGATTGCTATGAGAAATTGGTTGTGTAAATGCATCTTCTCAGGAGTAAGAAATTTCCGCGATTCGTAGTCGAATTGTTCCTTTGACCATTTATGACGAAACCACATTTTCATATTTCCAAGATACTTAGATGCGTTTTCTCCTAATGCAGACATTAGTGCATTTTTGGCTGTTACAACCTTGTCACTTGATTCAGCCATAATCGAATGCAGAAATGTTTAGATTGCTTGTTACTTTTATGTTTGTTTGATATGTGTAAGGCCTATATAAGGTCGGCCAAGAAGACTACATTGGCAACAGTTTGACAATAAGCTGAGTAGTTTTTACACTATTGTGATTTGACTCGCTTTGATTTTCAAATCACAATTATGTTTTGAACGAGAACAATTGTAAGATTCACTGAAAGGATCGATCAGAACTAGTTTTAAACTTTTAGTTTAAAAGTATACAAAATGATATGTTATTACTGGTAGCAGCGAACTCCAGCTGATTTGACTCTATAGTAAAACTAGATTCAAATTCAATATGAAATTTTGAAATACTTAAATAGGTATACACTTTTTTATATGAAATTTCACTACAGTTCAATGCAAACATTTTTTGCTGATAGTAGCAATAGTAACCTGTTATACTTTACAAAACACCAACAGCGTTGGTGCGGATCCTTTTATCGCTGTTAAGGTACTTTAGTCGTATATGTCAAGATTCCTAGAAATGCAAGATGTAGAATACTTTATGTATATATGCAGTTTAATTTCATTTTGAAAGGGATAATTCTTTTTCCACAATTTTTTAAAGTTGAAGTTGTGAGAGGTTTGGACCAATAGCATTATGCTATTATTATGGAAGTATTAAAATTAAATATTATAATATATATTGTATATTATTATAAGAACAAATCTTCTGCATTTTATATATTACAAATTGAAATTCCAAAAATGTACATTTTTGAAATTAAAATAATTTATTTAAAATTAATGGTTTTGTTTCAATTTTTGAGCATTTTATTCTGCTGTTATGTTTGTTGTATAACAACACTTGGTGTTACCAATATTATTCTACCATGGTATTATGGTACTATGGTACAATAAAAAGGTGAGATAGAGCTACTAGCTGGTTACAATTTTTTCTAGGTGTGCCCGACTTCTGCCAATCTTGTGCATGTATTTATTTTTCTGGAAAACAAAAACAAAATATATTCAAAATCAATTATTTTAAGAAACGTAGATTGCGGGCCACGCATTAAAGGTTTAAAAGCTTTAATGCATGGCCCGCAATTTTTCTATGGATTTGAAAGATGGAACAGTTTAGATCATATCAAGGCATTTCTTCACTTTTCACGCTTAAAATGGGGAAAATATTAAATAGTGGAAAACAACTTGTTGCATATAAATTTGAATAATTCTGACAGTGCTGAATTTCTGTATTTTTATGGGCATATTTAGAAGAAAATTGTAATCAGCTGGTATTTCTATATTACCTTTTTATTGGACTTTGGCTTGAATTAATTTCACCTATGAATAACATATTTAAAAAAATCTTCTGTAAAAAAAATTAATATTTTGTTCATATGTTATTTTGTGGTGTGTTCTCAATAAATGTTACCAATTATATCAAGTTTGCATGAATTAATTGCACGTCCACGTCTAAAATGTCAAAAATATTAAAAAAATCTTCTGGCAAAAAATTATTTAAAAATATTTTGTTCATAGGTTATTATGAGAAACACATCTTTCTCAATAAATTTTATCAATTTTAATAAGTTTTCATTTAACATTTATAAAATGGTTCAATAAGAAAGGTTGCTCAACTTCAAAGAAACTAAAAAAATGCATCTCTGTGCTGGAGTGTCGAATCGACTTCGTAAATCGTAAATATGCAACAGTAAGTTTTGTTTATTTTTCATTTTCTAACAAAATTCTTATATTGGGAAAACCTTCGAAACAAGAATGGAATTTTTGGGTTATTCCACAAGATTGAATCTAGAATAATATGACGTAACAATATTGTACAATGTATTGCCCATTAACATCGAAAATGTGAATTTATTTTGTAACCGAATTTGAAATAATTTCAAATTATTGTATTTTTTATTCAAAACAATACACACACATACACATAATGTGTGCATGTTTTGGCAGAATAAGGGCACCAAAAGAAAAAATTATATTTAGAGAGTAGTTTTGTTCAATCTTCTGTAATTGTGGCATGATACTAAACATGGTACAATGAAGAGAAGGTAGGTCAACTTTGAAAAAATTGCAAGTATAGAGGTCTACCTGTTTGGCTTGTAATGTCAGAATTACTATCAAAACAATAAAAAAGCAAACAACTTGTTGCATTGATTTTGAATAAATAATTTAAAACCGCTAAAACTGAATGAATGGTCAAAATTTCTTTTCAATATCATGTTCTATATATCTCTTATGGTTTATTTCGCGACAAAAACTGCAGATGTTGTCGATGCATTCGTTGCAATAAGCATTTTGAAAACACCCGAATTTGAATATTTTCTGAACAATTTTTTATTGTTGAAAAGAAGACACACACATAAGCAAATGAAGTTGACATATTAGGCCAGAAATTGAATTCATTGTACCATGATTCTAAATATGTTCTGATAGTTCATCGTATTCACGGCTGTGGCTAATGCGGTTACCTGTATTATTGAATCAAGGTATTGTCACTTTAAGTCCATTTTCGATTTGTATAACCCTGGTGTGTAGTTTTGTTTTGATTTTATTTTTTATCGCTCGTTATTTCATTCTTGCTTAACGGCACTGGTTTCTGGCAGTAGATTTGTAATCTCAAAAATGTTCACGCTATTGAGAATCCAGCGTAAATTTGGTAGGTAAAATTTTTTAGGATATTTAAATGGCCTTTTAATCAAAATGTTCTTTGTTACCAAAGATATCTTTCAGATATCAAACAAACAGAAGATTATTTCAAAATTTTCTTCATACAACAATGTTACAAATGCTGAAAAGAATATCTCGGATGCCCTAAATAATCAGACCTTTGGTCAACCTGTTCATTCAACTCACCCTCATATAGTAAATAAAGATGAATTAGTTCCAGGCTTAAAAGTGGAGGAATTTCAACAGCGAAGAGCACGTCTTCTTAATGGGGTTCAAAAATATGCTGCTGATTATTTGAAGGAAAAATGTGGCAACCGTAACCATTTGGTATGTATTCCTTCAGGTGTAGGAAATACTAATCCAAGGTTAGTTAACATCGATAGGTCTAATTATCCCAATTAATGTGATATAAATATTTAGGGTGACGTAGTGCGTAGTCTGCGTTTATTATACCTTACAGTCGAAAATCTGGAAATCCACTAATAAGTATCGTACGTTAAAAATTTTCTTTGAGAAGACTTAAATCACGTAGCTGAGTTTTCTCTAGATTTATCCCAGGTTAGTTAGTTGCCTTTCATGACAACTACGCCGCTCGAAGACCAACTCAACGATCAACTGTGGAACGATCTTGTACTTCTTCATCCTTAAACTGCCTATATTAAACCATATCGACGCCGCCCTATTTTGATTTTAGGGTATAGCTAAAATTGTTATTGTTTTGAATAGATATTTCCTTGAACTTACTCACTCAACAAATCCAACCACAGACAAGTATCCTGAGGAATCCACAGGAATACTAACGGAACACTGTCACTTCATTCTGCCTATCATAAGTAGTATTTTCTGTTCTTTAATACTTCATTTTTTTTTCAAATTTTGGACCATCACGTCTCTTTGCGGATAAAAGCAGATGCACAGTCTTTAGACCAACTTATATTTAATGGTTTTAGGAATTAGAAATTGCAGCTTATTTTTATTTCATTTTTGTTTATTTTTTCCACACATACAAATACTGAGCGCAAAGGTCCATGCACGTATCCAAAGTCATGAATACAGGCTTTTTATAATATTCCTAATTTTAAATATCTTAAATAAAAAAATTGACAAGTAAATAGACGAAGATTTGAAAAATAACAATTGATAATTAGGTGAATCCCCCATGCAAGGGTAATACTGAAACAATTTCCCATTGGTCACAGCGAAAAATAATTTGAAGTAAGTGAAATTATAGAATACCGACAAAACTTAACGAGTGTTTTTATTCAGTCTGATCGAAGATGAACAAGATGAATGGCGAATTTGGAATTATAGAAGATGAAGAATATCTGTGTATAGATATGACGATTTCAAAGACTTAAGTAATAAGTAACAGGATATATTATTCAGAAGTTCAATCTCTTTCACCTGCGTTGACAGATTTCCAAGGGCTGCCTTAAAAAGCCATCAACAGACTTTCTTTTAACAATTAAACGAAGTAAATCTACCTTCCTGGTTGTGACATGAACCTACATATAAATTATAAATATACCATAGAGTATCGTAGGTTGTTCAATTGTTACCAAAAAAAGATTAAAATACAACCCTAAATCCTTCCATGATTCCAAGGTCTCTTTAAAGTCCTCAATATTTAAATTTAACATTGAAGAATTTGTTATACACGTTGATATTGCTGAATGTATCGCAGAATTTTTGCTACAACCTATTCAAGGACAACTTCCCAAATTAATATTCATATTTCTATAAGTCGTCACAGACTGACTACAATGACAAGATGTATCGATTAAAAGTCCATGGCATGATTAACAAAATTCCCGAGTACTGCTCAGACAGCTATAGAAAATAACTTCATCAGCCGGTTACAAATACAATAACGTTAATAAAATACGTTGATCATTTAAAAACAAAATTATATTAGATTTTATTGTATCTATGTCCATACCATTTTAGAATTAAAAAGGTAAAGCCATGCAATCATATGTTTAATTTTTTTCAAAATTATTCATTGTCAATATATTTATTCATGAATATATTGTATTGTATCATGGAAGAATTACAAGGTAGCCCATGTCCAGGCCATCTGTAGGCAAATTGATATGTCAAAGAAATTGTTGTAATATTAATTCTCTTTACAGATACATAAAATGAAAAAAAAAAAAAACTAAACAATTATTAAAATTGAAAATTTTGGAAAAAGTTAAAAAACAAACCGAATATGAGGTTTTGTATGGTTTGTAAACGAGTAGAAACAAAGGCCAATACCTTCCTTGACCTTGACCAATACCTCCTTGTCAATTCTTTGATTTTTTCTCTATCCCTCAATGGGTAAATGAATCACCCCGACAATAGTCTATTTTTCCATAATATCTTCATCAGATCAATATTATCAATCAATATTTAAATATATAGTTCATTTATTCTCTGTTCTCTTCAAAGTATTAATACTAGATTTTAGTTGGAATTATTTAATCTTTATGATAT